AAAATATTTTAAAACGCGACCCAAACAAAATTTCATACATAAATTCAACCAATTTTTCTCTTTCAAATATTTTTTTCTTCAATTGAATGTAATATCATTCATGTGTGTAGTTTCGATTCTCACCGCTTAGTGTACAATTGGCACTAGTGTCGCCATACAATCAACTGTCATTTGAACACTTTTCCTCTCAATATATTTTTATCATTGAAGTGACAAATTTGACATTCACACATTGCGAATATTTTTCATTCAGTTTTTGTGCTCGGGACGTTTTTCCATTCGATTCAAGCGGTTTTATTGGTGTATCCAACTGGAACAGTTGGAAACAGATGAACTCTTGACGTATAAAAGACGAGCACAGAAAAATGCATACCGTTGTTCCAACAACAGAGACATTGTGAGCGATTCAAAATATGCGTTATCTAACTTGTGTGTGATTGTAGTTTAAATCTAACAAACGTCACTCATTTTATTGTTGTTAATCAATTTTGGAATTTATTTTCTATTTACATTATGATAGAAGTTTCGAGCCACAAGGTCGCAAACAGAGTTTGGATGACATAAATTTGGATCAATTTCTAAAAGTGGCCAACTATGAAGATACAGTAAAAGAATTGGATATGTACTATGGCATCGGTAATAATTAAAATGTTTTAAAGAATCTCACAATGAATGTGATAAAAAGCGTTTAACGAGTTCATTGATAATTCACAGTGAAACGTCAATTGCTGCAATTCCAAAGTCCGATTTCTGGTTTATTTCCCGTACTGTCGACCGATAATGAAGTTGGCAGCGTACGTGATAGTGTTTATTGCGCTGCGGCCGTTTGGAGTCTCTATCAAGCGTATCGAAGAATCGATGACGATCGTGGAAAATCTCACGTAAGTTCATTCAAACATCAAGACGGAAAAGATCTAATTCATTTGAAATGTTTCGTATTTTAACAGGAACTAGGTCAATCAGCCGTTAAATGTATGCGCGGCATTTTGGAATGTTGGATCAAACAAGCATATCGTGTCGAATTGTTTAAACAACGACAATCCAATCAACATGCATTACATTCAAAGTTTCATCTTCACACCGGCGAAGAAATCTACTCAGATGACCTTTACAATCATCTACAGATTGATGTGGTTTCAATTTACCTCATATTTTTGGTACAAATGATAACATCGGGATTACAAATTATTTACACACAAGTAAGTAGCTATCGATGTCATGTGATGAATGCTTTTGGTATAATGTTTCCAATATTTTTGTAGGACGAAGTAGCATTTGTACAAAATTTGGTGTACTATGTAGAGAGATCATATAGAACTCCTGATTTTGGGATGTGGGAACGTGGTTCGAAATACAATGACGGAACACCAGAAATTCATGCTTCATCAATTGGTTAATATATTTCTATTTACTGATCTCATTTTATTGGCATGATGAAAGACTTTTCAATATTATGCAATTTTTTTAGGAATGGCAAAATCAGCACTAGAAGCTATCAATGGATGCAATTTATTCGGGGAGAAAGGGGCATCATGGAGTGTGGTAAGCGATATTTTGTATTAAATAAAATCAGGAATTGTTCCTCTGAGGAGAAGAAATGAGGAGGAGGAGGAGATCTCAAGTGAGGAGGAAAAGTTTTTTTTGCTCAAAGGGCTATTTTTATCACAAAAATATCATGTTTAGCTAAAAACATTTTCTCCCTCCTCCTCATTTTGCTCCTCACCATTCATCCTCCTCAGAAGAACAATCCCTGAATAAAATACAAAGAAAATATATTTTTCACTACATTTTCGTTAACGCATAGGTTTATGTGGACATTGATGCACATAATCGAAATCGAAGTATTTTCGAAACAATGTTACCGCGTGAATCGTCATCGAAAGGTGTTGATGCTTCCCTCATAACCACTCTCGGTTTTCCCGCTTTTGCGTCACACGAAGAACGACTAGTTGAACAGACTAAAATCAATGTGGTTAATCGTCTAAAGGGAAAAAATGGGTTTAAACGATTCAGCCGCGATGGATATTTGAGTCGCTTAGAAGACAAATCAAGACGGTAATTTCATTCATGTCTAATGTCAAATGAACAAAATGATAACTAATTGTTTAATTTATTTAGCTACTACAATCAAGGTGAAGTAAAAGATTTCGAAGGGAACGAGTGTGAATGGCCGATATTTTACACATTTATGATAATTGATGGTGTGTTTAAAAGCAGTACTGAACAAATTGAAGAATATCAAGCTGAGCTGAGAAAATGCTTGTATGCTGACAGTAATGGAGGTAAACGTTTCGAATGATTCACTCGATTCCATTATTGATAATATCCCCATTTCATACCAGATCCGGCCATTGTAATGTTTTATGCACCGGATGGTGAAGGTGGCTACACAAAAGCACCCTCGGACGGTCTATTTTTGTGGGGACAATCTGTTTTTATAATTGCACAATTATTGACTTCAGGTCTTTTGCACATCAATGAGTTGGACACAATTCGACGTTATTTGCCAAGTTATAATCGACCGCGTAAAGGTGGTAGATATAGCGCGTTTCAGGTAATTTGTCATTGTAAATTGGCTAACACATTATAAAGCAACATCAAAATTTAAACTGGCTTTAAAGAAAATGTTTGGAAAGGAAATTTTTGGATTTAATCTCATAATCGAAATTTTAATTATTCCATTGCAAAAACAAACATAAACAAAATTCACTAAACTCAAAATTGGTATTCCAAATTAATCATGCTGCAGGGAAAACCGGAAGTTATATCAGTAAGTCCCATGATGACGCACGGTCGTCATATAGAGAATGACACTTTTGACCATAGAAAAGTGCACGAAACACCCACATATATCTTGCACCGCAATCTTTTCTTTTATTATTTTTGATTTTGAATGGCTTCGTTTAATCTTTTTTTCGGTGATTATTGAATTACGCTTTTTGTTTGACTTAAAAATTTGATTTCCACACTTTTTATTTTGTGAATTAAATGAATTTTCTCTGTCTTTTCTCCCCTTTTTCCTTTTGTTCCAAATTCGACTGCAGGCGAAGCCAGGAATTGTAAGTATAAATGGTACATTGGAAATGATTTCGTTTCACTCTACCTCCTACCTTGAAAGGTTTCCTTTTACAAAAACAATTCCTTTCACCATCCGATATTTCGGTATCATATCTATGTCTCTCCCTTGACACCAATGGGATTAGTACACATTTTTGCGATTCTTTTTTTTTGTTCACTTATGTTTGTTACGTTCTGTTTTCTGGCACGTAGTTTAGTTATCCTTATATAGTTTGTTGCATGCAATTAGTATTGTGTGATTAAAAACAGCGTTTTTATGCAAAATTAATATGATCCGCGATTTTTGTCTTAGGGAACTGCCACAGATCTTGTCGTGCAAATTGTGCTTATTGCCGAATCACAGAGGTGATTTGTTTAAAAATGCATTTCTCTCATACCAAATTTAAACTAACCATTTGTCGTTTTCTTTCAGATTACAAGCTATGATGGCCACTTATGGCATTCAAACCCAGACACCTCATGAAGCAAGTTTAAACAGAAATTTAAATCGTTTAAATTAAATTAAAATTGAATGTTATTTATTTTGAAATAGGTGGAACCAGTACAAATTTGGTCTTCGACGCAGCTAATAAAATTCTTCCAGCAATTGGGAGTAAATGAAAAAATCGGTTTGACTGGACGACCGAATCGGCCCGTTGGTTCCTTGGGAACATCTAAAGTGAGCATTGTTTTGAGATCAATTCAGTTTCTTTTTGTTTAAAAGTAAAAGCAACAAATTCGAATTTTTCAGGTGTATCGTGTGTGTGGAATGACAGTTTTGTGTTACCCGTTGATTTTTGAATTTTCGGATTTCTATTTGTATCGTGATATGGCACTGGTAATAATTTAAAACTTTATAAAATCTGTACAATGAACGGTAATGAGAGCTCATTGATAATTCACAGTTGATCGATGATATAAAAACCGAACTCCAATTTGTTGGTAGATACTGGCGTTTATCGGGCCGACCCACTGTCTGCTTGCTTATTCGTGAGGAACATATGCGAGATCCACAATTCAAAGAGATGCTTGATTTATTGGCCATGCTGAAGAAGGTTTTCATCTTTTTTTTATATTGTTTGGTTCGTTATTGGAATTCGTTTCAAATAAAATCGTCTTATTTTTACCAAATGAAGGGTTATTGTGATGGAATGAAAGTGCGCATTGGCCGATTGCAAAATTTAATTTCAAGTTCATGCATGGAACACTTGGATTTCATGTCGACATCCGATTTACCTGAAATCGGCGATGAAACCAGCTTCAGTCAAATACATCATGAATACATTGGATATCAGAGTTTAACCGATGTTCCTAAGGCTCAATCATATGCTGAGGAGAAAATTACTTGCGCGGTTAGTATTGAAAAACATGTTCAATTCATATTGTTCAAAAAAGTGATGAAATTTAATTTATTAGGAGTACAACCATCGTTCTCTACCGGATATCATTAATGTTTTAAGGCAAACAACGTCCATTTACTGTCAATGTCAATTGTTAGGCATCATTTTTATGCGCGAAGGTCCAAACTATGAAATAAATGGCGAAAGTGTGTTAAATGCACTGAAAGCACTTTACTATCGTGCAGGAACACTGAGGTACTGGCGTGCAGTTCGATACTGTAGCTCTTTACTTCACCACACTGTAGATTCAATCAGTCCCTTCATTACAACGGTTTTGGTAAACGGAAAACAGGTATGGCAAAAGTTCGATTAAGTTCGTATCTGAAGAAAAATTCTCTAATTTTCGAAATGGTTTACAGCTGACAGTCGGTGTAATCGGTCAAAAGGAAACCGTATTCGATAAACCTATGACGCCAGCAGAGATCCAGAATGTCATGTACACACATGTTCAGCCATTTGATGTGATCCAAGCAGTATTGCAGCAAGAAGTTGTGCTCTATTGTGGTCGTTTGATTGCAACAAATCCAGACATGTTCAAGGGTGTTTTGAAAATTCGAATTGGTTGGGTTCTAGAAGCAATGCGACTATACCTAAATATGTCCGGTCAAACGGATGATTTTGATAATTTATCACCGTTTTCAATTCGTATTTTACTTCAACGTATTCTCACGGTAAGCGATTGGGCAAATGATGAAAAACTAACAGTTTTGCAACGACGTCAATTAGAAGGTTGTTTGTGCCGGGTGCCAAAGCAATTTTACGGATTAGTTTGGGACGTATTATCACGCACACCCAAAGGTATATCGTTACAAGGTCATTTGATTCCAACCGAACCAACGCTTACCAGCATGAGCAGAAGCGAACTGGCATTTTCGTTGCTGGTCGAAGAAACATTCAACCATATCATTCAACCGGAGCGACGACAGTTATCGGTTGAGCTTCTTTGTATCGTGGCCACAATTCTAAGTCGTAATCCAGAGCTGCGCTTCAAGGATATACTCGATTTAGATGATTTACTCGAAGAGGCTTACAGCATGTATTGCAAAGAGAAACGTATACCGTTCACCAAAGATATTTCGAGCTTATATTCACTCAGCTACTCAGAAACAACTGGATATCTAGCTCGTGCCGTTGTTAATACCATACTACAAGGCGGCGTTTTGGCAGCTCAACCCGAGGATGACGCGCAAGATTTCGAAGAGGAAACTTGCCGAGTCTCCTGAATCTTTTATTACAAAATCAAATCATTTTACTTTTTATTGTTATGAAATTTTATTATTTTTTTTCCATTTTTAATGAAATGAGATCATTTAGATGTATACTATACTTGAATATGAATTGTTTACTTTATCGAGAATGAAAATCGAAATTATATATCATGTAGAAAATATTTCATGACATTTACTTTTAAGCGTGTATTTTCTCTTTTATTTTGTTTGGTTCGTTATTGGAATTCGTTTCAAATAAAATTGTCTTATTTTAACCAAAAAATGTCGGTTTGAAATCTGTCTGCAATATTTCAGGTGTGATCAGCCGCAAAGATGGGGGCAATTCATCTTGATGTTTGAGCAACTCCTCTGGATAATTGAAAAATTCCCGTATCAATCGCTGGTCATTTTGTTGTTTCGCCGATTTTCGTCTTCTCATAAATTCGTCAATCATATTTTTCGAATAGATTTTGGACTCTTGCCTCGATGTTTTTTGTTGCCTTTCAATTTCCGCTGAAAATAACAACAAATGCTCATTTTTAATTTCATATATAACCAAATGAAGAAGAATATTTCGGGTCGCATCAAAACAATGTTGTTACCTTGTTCCTTAACCTTTTCGATTTGTGCTGGTGTATAATGACTGAATCGACATGAAGCACCAAACTGACAAGATCCATTTGGAAATTTTGCACAAGGTTTCTTCTTATATTCATCTCTCAATATTTCTTGGGCAGCTGCAAAAAATCTTCTGTTAGTAGAAGTAATGTCTAATTTTTCTTTGCTCAAAATTCTTACTTTTATAATGAGCATAATGTTCGTTGCGTGCTTTTTGATGTGGTAATCCTTCATTATGCTTCTTTTTAATATTCGGATCGTCTCTCATTCGCTTATCGCAATAGTCACAATAGTACATTTTCCCCATTTTTTTGATAAAATTCAAAAATAAACTCACAAAACAACTTCTTTCGACTCTGAAATGGTTAAACAACTTGACAGTCGAAAAATGATAAACAACCAAATTTGACGTTTTAAACGTCAACTGTCATACATTACGATTGTCACAGCGCACATGGAATTGTAAAGTTAGTTTGTATTTTGAAGCCAAATTAAAATTGATGCCGAATATTTTCACAAAAATCAAAAGAATGGAATAAAATTAAAATGGATGTAGACTGCGGATATTGTGATGATAGAATTGGCACCGACGATTTCTTGGAGTGCGAAGAATGTGAACAATATGTTCATGTGCGGTGTTTACGTCGGCCGGGAACACCAGGCGATTTTGTTGGGTATAAATTGTTTGTTTTAACTAAAAACTCAAAAATCGTTTCGATACCGTTCAAAATCCATTGATTTTCATCTTAATTTTTTTCGTATTCTATTGTTTTTACTCTATTTCAGTGACATATTCTTCAAATTCACATGTGTGAGCTGTACCAACAATGCCAAAGAAACATTTGAAAGAGAAAAATTACCATGGTGAGAATCAAATATGAAAAAAGTGAAGCCGTATTCCTTTCGATGATATTGAATTGATTTCAATTTTAGGACAATGATAATTGTGTTGACAATTTATAACTTAACCAAGAAATCACAAGGCCTAAGTAGAAATGGTTATTTCCATTGGAGATCGCACATCGCCCACTTTATTGACAAAAATTGGGCGTACCTTGTGGAACCGAATTTGTAAGTAAACCGAAAACTAACTAGAGAATTGAGTAATAATTCAAGGCATTTGTTCTTTGTCATGCAAATCATGTTTTTGTCGCTTTTTTCATTTGTTTTTTGTAGTAAGAAAAAAAAGAATTGGATTGGTACTATTACTGGAACACTTTCACACCATTCACCGGTATTATTTACATCTGGACTTGCAGTGTTTAATGAAGGCGGATATTGGAAATTATCGCATAACAAAACACCCAAACAATATTATGACTTTGGTTAGTTTTTTTGTTTGTTACTCAAAATATTCCGAATGTCAATTGAGTGTATCATTTTTAACAAATTTTTAGTGAAGAGATTCCGCAAAGATAAAGGTGCCACCGAAGAAATAAATGTGCTAAACGATGAGCCCAGATCGAGTTTGTTAGGAAAAAGAGCACACGAATCGAGCGCAGATGAGAGTGAGAGTGAAACTGATACTGAGCCAGATCACTGTAGTCGAACACTGTAAGTAGGACAGGATTTTAGTTCTTCTGTTCCAATAATGTGTTAACCACTCGTTCACAGACCATTCACCGGCAAATACAAATGGGATCTGAAACTGAAAGACGAACCCGAACCAATGATTGATATTTTAAATTTCATTGATTCAAGTGAGAATTCGAATTTGCTCGATGAAATGCCCGCCTTACCAACGCTCACATCTGAAGAAATAAACAGTGTAATTCCATCATTCACAACCGGCAATTATAATGATTTACTCGATAATTTGTTTGATTGTAAGCCAAAAATTGAACTACCATTCGAAGAAGATGAGTTCTCCGAGCCGAAAATTCTACAAGTAAACAATTATCAAGAGAACATTGAGTGTATTTCACATGATCCAGACATTAAACAGGAATTGCCCAGTGACGTTGAAATGCAAGACGACGAAGATGAAATGGAATTACCCTATGAAGAGAAATACATTTGTGAAAAGAGTCTATTTACATCGAAACCGCCACCGGAAAAATATCCATGGGAAATCGATTTTGCTGCAGATCAAGATGATAATGACAATTTCATTGGTGATAAATGTATTGAATTGATGGGCGAATATGAAGAAAATGAGATTTTCAAACGGCTTAAAGCGATTTTTGAAGCAGAGAAAAGTCGATCAATTGACATACCACCGTGGATTCGTAGACATTATCGAAAATTATGTGTTCGTAAAATGCAACGAAGTTTAGGATTATCAGTATTTAATGTGGATAAATTTAATAAAAGAAGTGTTCAGACTAGTAAGCAGACAACACAACCAGCTGTGCTAGATCGATTCCATCATTTGATCGCGGGCAGTGGTGATTTTTCATTGGGAAAGAGAACAGACAACACATTCATGGCACGTTTGGCTGGATCATGTACATATGATCTTTTCATTAGTCCGCACACCGAACGCATTTTGCATCCGTTCATATACAGAAATGATAGTTGCGTTCCACCGTGGGTTAAGCTTTTGTGCGAACTTCAGTACGAAGTGAATGGAACGATGCCGAGTCGAGCTTCAATCGATTTTTGTTATGTTCGACCTCAACACATTGCCGCGGTCAATGGACTGCTTCAGCGGATGTTTTGGCCAGGAATCGATAGTAAGCACACATTTTGTTTTTTTATTACGAGAATGTAAAGTGTTATTTCCATTTGTCTATTTCCAGTGTCTGAATGCTTGAGTTATCCCGATTTCAGCGTTGTTGCTCTCTACAAGAAACTCGTTATTGGTTGTGCCTTTCTAGTTCCCGATGTCGGTCACAATGAGGCATACGTATCATTTATGGCGGTTCGACCCGGTTGGCAACGTGCAGGCATTGCCACATTTATGCTCTACCATCTGACACAAACATGTATGGGAAAGGATTTTACATTGCATGTTTCAGCAAATAATCCTGCCATTTGCTTATATCAACGCTTTGGCTTTAAAATTCAAGAGTTGATATTAGATTTTTACGATAAATATTTACCATACGATTCCACACAGAGTCGACACGCTTTTTTCTTACGATTAGAACGATAAAATTAAATAAATCATAAAAAATTGGGAAAATAAATGAACATAAAAAGTAACTGAAATTTTCGATCATTTTTTGCTGAAATGGGTTCCATTTATAGTTTTTCCTTTTTCTTCTTCTTTCTATTTATGCACGGGAAAGAGAATTTAAGTACAAAAACTGCTTTATACGTCAAATGCTCAACATGAATACAACGAGATCGAGTACTCCTTGAAAATAAATAGTTTCTGCGAATGCAACTAGTGTCCAGCGCAATATGCATCAATTTGAAATGAATTTAGTTTGAATTTAATTCAATCGGTCTTCCATTCAATTATTAAAATATAAAAAGATATTACATTTTTTGATTTTTTTATGAAATATGTACATTTAGTACATTTATTCGTTAGTGAAAACAGTTCGTGCTTTATAATTGTGAAAAGTATCAATTTCGGGTAAAGAAAAAGAATATTCGATGTGTGTACTCAAAGCAACCATTGCTCCGTGATTGAATTTCAAGGAAACGTTGTGACACAACATTAAATCAATCATATGTAATATTCGTGGCTATTTTTGGGTTTTCATCTGTATATTTTTTATTGATTGTTCAAAAAGGAAAATTTACATAGGACACTCCCAGCGCTTTTGAAAATAGTGAAATTAATAAGTCGTTACCAAGATAATTCACAGTGAAATATCGACCGCAGAATAAAGTGGACTTGTGATATTTATAGTCCGTTTAAAAGTGAGTGTCTGTTATTTTATTTTCGTTTCATTTGAACTTTTGTTGGAAGATGTTGCTCAACATTTACGCATAGATCACGCCAATTTATTTATAGAAGGTGTCCAAAATGACTCGCAACATATTTGGGCCAATCAATTACTTGTAATTTGATTTGTCGTTTAAACCACTCGGCATTTAAATATCACAGCTTGGATGAAAATAAATCATATTTCTGCTTTGAAGTAATTAAGACTATAAATTGGAATCTGTCGTGCACATTAAAAAAAAAATTACGGAATAAATAATGCAATGAAATTAAATTGCATTTCAAATAAAATCATGCGTGAGATTTATGCTCTGCAGTGAAGGATTGAAAAATTTCGTTACCTTTCACCGAGAATACTCGTTGTCAATAAATCGTATTTAAATCGTTCTCACTCTGTGTGAAGCATTCACATTGGATTAGTCATTGTGCGAAGTTCAGAAAACTTAACGGAACGCGAGTGTTTCTTTTTCATTTAGTGCGGGTTATTTCATCATGTGTCTTGAGAATGAGATTGCCTCCTACGAGAATCCGTTTTTTCTTTTTCAAAAACTATCGAACTGCCATAATTCAAATTTTTACTGAACTAGCACCGACACCGCCAAAAGAAAACAATGTGAGAAATCAATTATTGCTTAAGAAATGTGTGAACGTGAACACACATTACAATTTGGAATGGACTAATTTCTATTTTTACATTTGGTGAAATTGTGTCTTGAGAATGTGTAAGCAAGAGTGAGACATACAGAGAAATGAAATCACTGAAAGAGTTGCCGGCTATTTCTTTCATTCTTTCAACACCTCTTACAAATGGAATATTCCGGCGATGAGTGTAGACATTTCATTGAATAAAATCCTTTGCAATAAAATTACATTCGTGATTCATTTTATATTATTCATACAAAAGACACCAAAAAGTGTTTGTCTTTGCAAGAGCTCAAAATGAATGTGCTCTTTGTTCATGCTTTTGATTGTTTTTGTTGATCGTGTCAACAGGGCACTATAATCATCGTAATTTTTAATTGCAATGAGACGTCACAATAAACCCGCAATATCAATGCGCGAGAGTGTAATTGTTTCCTTCAACAACGAAAAAAAAAAAAATCCAAACCATTGATATGAAGCGATCACACTGAGTGTGATCTCTGTGTATCTCGCACTGCGTAACACATAAATGAGAATTAAAAATTATTTTGCTCTCTGCTTTTGAGTCGTATATATGCTTTCGTAATGGAGAGACACGAGCGAAGGCGCGAGCAACTGACCGAACGAACGACCGAACGAGTGAGCAAGAGAAGAGAATCATGCTGTTCATTTGGTTTAGTCGCATTTGAGCGCTCCTCGTTGAACGTTGCATACTTTTCGATATTTTCGTGAATAACGCGATCGTGACGATCACAGCAATCAATTTGACACATACGGTGTGTACAATTCATTCATTTTTTTCTTCTTCATTTCTTCGATTGGTTTAAAATATTATAATTCCATAGTGCGCAATTGAGTTTCGGTTCGTGTTTTTGTTTACTTGGACGAATTTTTGATAATTATCGGTTTCAAAAAAAAAAAAAATATTTATGTCTGATTTTTGTTTATTTTATTGGATTGAATCCAGTTCTATTTGTGATCAATATTCTTTGGACATTGTGACGTAATAAAATAAAACCATTACCTTCGCGATTGTATTGAACAATCGGATTAATACGTCCGATAGTGCGTCACCATCATCGTATTTGTTGTCATTCGTCTTGAGTGTTTATCGAAACGGTTTATTTTTACATTGAAAACTAAACATCAAGGCGATGAGAGATGTTCGTTGTTTCTCAAATCGTATCCAATTCAGATAAACCGATTTCAATGAGATTGCTTCCGTTTTTCTTTCGATTTATCTCGAACATTTTTTTTATGATATCAATTTATCTCAGTCGCTCATATACTTCAAGTCAACAAAATTGGCGATTTTTCATTGGAATATCTGCTTTAATGTGTTCTTTTATATAATAAATATATAAATGATGACAGCATTACGTATGGTCTGGATATTTTTAACGAGTGACACACCAAAATCGCCCTCAACCGCACTTTGACAGCTCAGTCGGCGAAAAAGTGAAAATTTTTATTTTTTCAATTTATTTTCATTCTCTTTTTTTTTCTTTCTCTCTCTCTATCTTTTTTTTGTCTTTCACACAGATTCATTGCTGAAACGCATCTCGGCTTTTGGTAGTTTGAGCGCTAGTATGCGACTGCATTCAACATCATCACACTAATTGTATGCGGTTACACCAAACAAGATTCAGATTTTCTTATATAAAGTTTTTCGGTTTGATTCTGACTCAAGAGTGATTTGAGAATACATAAAAATTCATCGCAGCAAGCAAATCATATTTGCTCAATGACGACGAAGTGTTTTTAATACAGAAATAAAATATCATAGTAAGTGAACAGAAAATATCGTTTTAAATATCGACCAAAATTTAGTGAGATAGAGCAACACATAAAAAAATGATGATAGACACTGAAGAATAGACGAAAAAAGAGTGCTAATTTTAAATAGATTTGTGGGTGTAAAACACTCATACTTTTGAAGTACAGTTGTGAACATCTGAAGAATCACAAACGATTTTTATTTTGTTTGTTTGAACGTGCAGCAATAGAAAAAAGAGAGAACCGCAAACGCGCTCATTTGTGAACAATAATACAACACACACACACGACTTGTGACTTAGGCGTATAGCATATAGACAAAAAACGTTTGAATACGTCATTTTTCGCGTACTAAGTGGAATTTCAAAGTAAAGTTGCTCGTTTATTTTTTTATATTCTTCTTCTTCTTCGAAATTTTGTGCTTCGTACGAAACGAGAGGTAAATAGAGATTTATTTTTTTTTGTGCATATGTCATTTTAAAAACATTGATAATTATAATTATCCATTAAAAATCAAGTTATAAATGCCTAATGGGATTGTGCAACACATAAACGTACCGATGACAAGGCAAGTCATAATTGCAAATACTGCAAGATATAATCACACACAGTTTATTGATTATTACTTTATTGACAAAGAGATGTATGCAGTTTGTAAACAACTCGCATACTTACGTATGAAGTTATGTGAGGGATTTTATTGGGAACCAATCAGTGTTTGTAGCAAAATAATCAAATGTACTTCATACCGATAATAATTGCAAAATGTCTTACGTATTGATTTTCGCAACGAGCATCAAATGAAAAATGTATATCACCTGCTTGAATCAATGACACCATAGTCTCTTTTGTTACTGTGGGTTGCAAAAGAAGCAATATGACATATTGAAAATGTTCAATTAAATGCTCGATTTTGAGAGGGCAATTTTGTATGCATGACAAAAAAAGTGGAGAGCCTCGTATTGCTGACGTAATTTTGCCAAAATATTGAAACAAGCCACTGATTTGTTGATCAAACCATAAATAGCGAGTCTTGATTTAACAATGGCACCTTTTTTTCCACTTCTTTGCGAAACCAATAAAAACACATTTTGAAATAGCCACATGTTCACACTCAAACAGACTAACTCAACGTCGTAAATTCTGAACAATAATAATCATAAAACCGTACATAGTACGATGCAAAAAAGATGTATCTAAAAAATGCCGGCTAAATGATTTGCAAGTTAATCAACTGTAAGATCATTTGCATGAAAAAGCAAATCGGCTGAGCTAGTACAACGACATTATAAATACATGACCGTTCACGCTTCGCGTCTGTTTGTGTGTATGAATGTGAATGAGTGAGTTGAAGAATTTAAGCAAATGTGGTATGAGATATGTTGATGTTCAAGCATGCCATATGTGCATTTAATTCACATTAAACCAAAATTGATTCCATTTCATTATTTTCATTTGAATTCGATAAATATTTGTGCATTATTGTTTCGAATCGCGAAACCACACAATCGGCGAAATGAAAAGCATGGAATATGAATACATATGTATCGAATGGCCCAAAACCAGTTAGCCAAATACAGCCATATAATAAAATACACTCTGTGTGCAATGAAATGTTCCTCGCCGAAAAAAAAGTTTGTAAACATTGACTCGTTTTACATGAATCCAATGCGGATACGTGGTATTAATTCAGAAAAATAAGCTGACATAACGGGCAAAGATAGCAACTGTAAAAGCAAACAACATCAGCATCATCAATAACTACAATAATAATAATATTTCGTTGTTGTGTTTTACTAATTAAACAAAAAAAAAACCCACCACATTTATGGATATTTAGCCCATGAAATGTTCGATGCAGTTTTGAATTGTTCGATTACCGTTGTTTGTAGGCAAAATATGAAATTGCCGGTAAATGTGGACGATTTGTAGCCGGAAATAGGTTTGGTTACAATATAAATGCCGAAAATTTTGCCCCAAAACTGAATAGAAAACGGAAGGCATTCGGTTGGATGTATATATTCCTAAAATGTGATTCATTTGATCATTTGTTTTGATTTCGATTTGATGTGTACAACTTCATTTGCATCGGTGTAAAATTGATAGCTTTGTTGTCCATGTACTATTATACCTTAAACAGACCGTCGTAAATTCTTCAGTGGCCAGATTTCGAAATGCATTCAACTCTGTTCCGTCGATAAAATCGGAGAGGTCTTTTGTGAGATTTCATTTCCATTGAACAACTCAATCCAGAAGCTACGATGCATATAAGCTCATTTCATTAATACACAAAGTGGTCATTATTTCACGTATTTGGCTATTTTGTATTTCAGGGATGAAAATGCACACGCACACACTGACCGTACATAGTATATGTATATATATACATAATAGATAGCAATGGACCGAGAATAGTAATTAAATTGATTAAAATTGTGGTTATCTAGCGTAAACCGGGTAAACCATAAACCATCTATATTTATAGCTATAGATTTGAATGTCTATGTGTTTGTTTTTTGGTTTGGCTTTGTCGGCGCGCATTCAATGCATCCATTTGGTCGACATTTACCTGCTATCGAATGCTTAAATAAAACCATTGATCTATTTCTTGCGATGTGATGCATTTCAATCATGGGCATTATCATCATTTTGTACCTTATTTGCCTTCATCACTGTTGCTCTATCTACCCCTTCCCATCATATCATCGCCACTATCTCTGTGTACGTTTACCTCAAGCAATGTGTGCATCTGTTTATCTTCGAGCGTTCAATCTCTCTCGCTCAGTTTGTTTATTCATTTCTCCTTCTAGTTGAATCAGTTTTGGATTTGCGTTCAGAGTTTGAGCCACTCTATATTTGTCGATTACTTCACAAAATCCAAATGTCTATTTGATATTGATTTTCCTGTTAATTTGCAAATCGAATCAAAAGCTTAATATTTTAATGAATTTAAGCTAATTATTATCATTTGCGAAACGTCACGAGCTCCATCCAAACCACAATCAATCATCTGATTACATGCAATAAAGCCGTCATCCAAAAGTCACACATCTCGGATTATTCAAATTTAGTATATATATAAATGGATTTGGGCAATCATGTTGTCCCGTCGCTGATGCCGATGCTGATGCTGAACACAATACCATTCGACATAAAATTGAATATAAATTGGTCGATGCGTTTTCATTTAACTCATTTCAAAGTTAAATAAATACGTTCAAAATCCATTTTGACTCTTAGTTCAAACGGAAAATGCATTAATGGCAAATACTTTTTGCGTGTGCATTCATCCAATTCAACATCCATCCATTCCAGACAATAAATGCCATTCAATTAACCAAATCCAAAAATCTATTCAGATGCATCTCCGCATACTGGAAAATTATAACTAACAATCCAGCCATATGTTTTTCTTTCTCTTTTCCTCTCTCAGTGCATGTAAAAAAAAGTTAAAGTTTTTTTCCACTTCGTTTGTTTGGGTTGGGTTTGAACAAATTGAAATGTGTTGACATTATGTCGTTGACAAAATTTCTTCAAAGCTCGAAAAAAATGATGATCGAGACGTCAATTAATTTTTGTTGAGGCATTTTACCATGCATGTAATTCGATTTGAAGTTCAAACGCTAAACATATGCGAAATGTTGATAAATTGCATTCAAACGGGTTATGTGACACTTAAGTCGTTAAGTGTGTCAATCTGAATAAATTTCGAAGAATTTAAAAAAAAAAAAGATGGAGTGAGAGAGAAAAAGTGTGTGTACGTGTGCGCTAGCGTTTGCGTTCCGTTCACCAAACTCAATGATTTGAATGAGAATCGCCTACATTTCGCCCGTTGATATTGAACAAAAATTCTTTTTTTCTCGCCAAAAAAATATGATTCAATGGCCGTCAGTTGGCGTTAGAGTAAATCGTAACGGGCGATTGTTTTTTTCTGTTTTCATATTGGGTAGAAAAATTGTGAGCGTAAATGCTCTTGGATTGGCGTTGATGTTAGTCAAGAGCCACTCGAAATGACCATAGCCGAACAATATACAAAAAAAGTGGTTTTTATATATATTTACACACACACAAACTATGCACGCCAAAAAGGTAAAAAAACTTGGAGGATGTAAAAAAGCGAAGAATTCGAATTCGTACGTGCGCTTGGCGTATTTTATTGTTTGAAGTTCAAAGCTGTGATGAATGTGAGAGAACAAGGTTTCGTTCATCGTTTATTTTGTTTAAAAAAAATTCTATTTAAATGCGTAAATTTGACTATCCAATAAATCTGCTTTATTACCCGATGACTCGACCAATTCACCAATTCGAATGCGAACGCCAACAGCATAAAATACATCAAATAGTTTTGTACGGAAATGCGATTACTCTCTCATCGTCGTTGTCACTGTCGCCGTTGCATTGTACTTTTGAACAAATCCCAAATTCAAATAATTTCCGAATTCCACATGCATGGCTTTGATTCAATATCGAAATTTATGTAATTCCATTTGCGACATCATTCAGGAGGTATTAATTCCGGCAACGTGCATAGTTTTCAACCGATGATTTCATCTCTCTTTCTCTCTCTCTATCTCTCTCTCTCTTTCTCTTTCTCTCTCTCTTTCGACTCAAATCAAATCATATCGGTACGCATCGGGTAATGGTTGTCGAAAGCCAGTCATAAATTCGATTTACTGACAGAGAGAAGCTTATCCGCTCCGATTTTTTTCTCTCTCTCAATGATGCCATGACATTCAAATTCAGAATATTAATGTTATTGATATAATTGGAACAGTTGCGAAGTACGAGCTTTGCTGTTGTGAATTGGCACAAATTCAATCGTTTCAAATAAATTCATCAATTTATTTGAACGAAAACAAAATGAAACGTAACAAAAACCATCGCTAAAATATCATGCATTCGACAAAGTATGCAGAAATCAATGCGGCAACAAAAATCTTCAATTCAATCTGTGCCGCATATAAATAAATAATGACATTAGATGTTAAAAATGTGCGTGGAGTTGTGTTCCATATCATAGAAAAAAGTGTGTTTTTGAATCAAATTCTGTCATTCTCCTTTGGTTAACTAGTCAATGGCATGCACGGCCGTTGAATTGTGAACATCAAGCAGAGCACGAGAAATAGAGAGAAAAAAACGAATCAAATCGGTATATAATTGTGATGTTACACCCACTTGATTCGACAAAAATAGACGATCGTCAATCGAGCAAAGCGAATCAGAAAAAAAACTCGCTCGTTCGTTACACTCGTACATGCGATGCTCTTGCCATTATGACGGCTCATAGAGCAAACGAAAAACCAATGAGCAATATGATTGAATTAAACGCATGCGTAAAATACATAACACAGGTCATCACAATATCTTTTCTTCGCCTCTGATTTGCGTGAGTAGGCTGAGAATGGTTGAATACCTTGTCAAAATTATTCCATTCATTTTGGTTGTCAACTCATGAGACTTAGAGAAATAACTACATTGCCATGAGTTACAATTCACAGCTTTCTTCCGTCATCATGGAAACTGAGTTCGGTGTCATCGGCATCACTTTAAGTGTAAATGCAAAAAAAAACTCTACAAAGTCATAAAAAGGTGGAAAGAGTCAATATTGAAAATACACGATATGGTCGGAAACAAAATAATCAGTTTGTTCGTTTGACACGTTCATATTAATGAGTCATAATTTTGTTTCAGAACATTTAAAGTGATGTTACAGCCAACGATAAGTTGTTTATGTTTATTTTTTCATCGGAACATGCATATTAAATGAGCTTCCAATGTAGTGTCATTTAAATATATATCAGCAAATTAATATTAATCGTTAAAAAGAAAAAAAAATATACCAATTCTGTGTCACGATCGCATTATCAACCGTATATACTTCATTTGCAGTGATGATTTCTTGTTGTTGCTTCTCTTTCTTCTGCTTGCCTTCTTCGTTCATCTATACACATGTATACACAGTCTCATTCTATAGATTTTGATTGTCATTGACCTTGAAAATCGTTTAATATTTGGCATTTAGATGCCGACATATGCTAAACGCCTTAAGCGTTCGCTAAATATCAGACAGACAGTGGTTTGTGTGAGTGTGTATAGTTGTTGTGGCCAATTGTTTATTCAGCTTATAGTTAAACAATCACTTCACAATGCTACACAATGACATCGCTGATGTGGGCAATGTGCATTTCTTGTTTGCTTTTATTTTAATTTTTTGTTTCCTCTCCGCAATGGCTTAATATTTTACTGACAGCCCAATAAATACTCTCATAAAATAGGCCATGTGTACCGTTTTCTGTTCATTTTCTGTTCAGCTCTCTTCAGTGTTTCAAGTTTGTTTATCTTTTTTTGGCAAAGTCAGTTGATGCATTTGGCAACGCTGTGCACGCACTTGACAGCAATTCGTAATTGATTTCAAGTGCAAGCAAACGATTGCACGTGTTTATTGTTTTAGCACGGCTTAATCAAATTATTTTCAGAACCAGAAAAGAACCAGTGTGCAAATGAAGAAAAGACGTAATAAAATTATTTCATATTTTGTTCGGGCAATGTCATTTCGCAAACCAAATACATTTCGATAAGTTCGATGCGGGGCAATATTAATATTTATTTTACGAATTGTGTGCCAATTAAAATGTGAAAACAGCATCGCAACAATTAAAGCATTATTTGCAACTTTAATTTCGCCTTTATGCGGTATTTATGTTTCACGTTAAAATTCATTTTCCATTCTATTTGGCTTATTCTCTTTCTCTTCTTCTCACTCTAATATCTCTCGTTCTCTTTCTGCCACTTTGTCTTCGTTTACTTCTTGCTTTTTTTATCGGGCGACAACGAAACACACAATGGCATTGTTAGCATTTAGCACTGTTGTATCAACGAAGCCCACGCTCTTACTGTTGCAAAGCAAACCATTCACCGAAGAACTCGATTCTCGAGTGAAACTCTCTGAGAGTACAAGTATTTCAACATTGTTATCATTTCCAATGACTTCATAATTTTCAATGTAAACGCAAAAGTTTTGGTCGTTCATGTCTTTGTCGTTTACTTTTCCTTAACCTGTCTTTGGCGTAAATTGAGTACGGTAGATTCATTCCGAAATAACAAAGTGAATTTGCAAAATGGAATTCGAATGGAGATTTCTGTATTTCGACGATTATTACAGGAAATTTTACAATGAAAAGGTACAACGACGCCACGAACAATCATTTCGAAGGACGAGAAACCAAAACACATGAAAATATCTAACTTTGAATTTATTGATTGATGGTCTTTTGTTTTACAAAATGATTGATTGTTGTGTGTTGTAATGCCTAATTAATAGCATAGAATCCATAATTTGGATCCATTCCCATACATAGAAGTCACTTTACATCCATTTCAATCGATTTACTTCTTCTCGTCGACGAATTTTTCATAAGTCCATTATTCAAGTAAAATTAAACACAAAATTCATTAATTCGCGAAAAAGAATCGCGAAAAGATCCATTTAGAAAAAAAACATGCAAAATATAGAAATCATTAGGCATCTTATTTGCATGCAAACCAGGAATATTTTTATATTCAACGATGGAGAGTAAGTTGAGAATAAGCATTGTAAATACAAAATTTGTACAAAAGAAAAGTAAATGATTATTTTCCTTTCTCTCTCTCTCTCTCTCTCTCTCTCTCTCTCTCTCTCTCTCTCCCGATTGTCGCTGCTCGCATTTGAAAGATTTTATGTTGTTCACAAATCATTTTTCATATTTTCTGTGCTCTTCCTCTTTTATGTAAAAAGCAAATTTCTTTGCTGACGTTTGTCGTCATCGTTGCCGTTGTCTCTCATTCGAATTCGACAGCTATTTTTACCGACGTCAGTCGCATTGAGTGAATAAGAGCCGAAATATAAACTCAAAAAATGAAAAATAAATAGATGCGATTCATTGTTGCTTGTCATGTTTCTTTTTTCTTCAAAAAAAAAAAAAAAAATTTCGACGTTAACGATAAATTGTTATGAAAAGCAGAAAACTTTGCATATTTGGAAATGTAAATTGGAAAATAAATTTGTTTTTAAGCGGGCAAAAGCCGTTGTTACATCGACAGCGAGTGAAAACGAAATAGATGTACACTTGATGACAAGAGGATCAAGTATCAAATGAGACATAAAGACTGAAAACAAGAATAACAATGAGAAAAATGCTTAAGGATTTATTCCTGGGAAAGATGTGATTCACGATTTTTTTTTTCTCTCACGACATTCATTTTTATGGAAGTTGTTCACGGAGAATCAACAACTCTAATGAGGCACGTAGATTTTTGTGTCGTGCGCGCACAAGGCCGCTCAAAATGACTTAATTTGATATGAATTTGAGATTTTATCTAAACTGAAGCGTGACAACGGACATTATGCATGCATAAAAGGTGGTGGGGGTGAGAGGAGTGTTGTTGTTTCATTTCAAGTCTGCAAAAGACCCACCAGAACCGCGAACAATTAAAAATAAAACGGTCGATTTGAATCACAAATTTCGATAGACGAAGCAGCTTCATAAATTCTTTACAAAGTTCCACGAATAAACACGTTTTGCCTTTGTGTCATTCAACAAAATCTTTTACTGTAAATACTCGGTTTGTGTTTGTAAAAAAGTAACTCGCTGCTCGAAGGTGGAAGTCAAATAAATTAAATATTAATGTAATGCCGGCGAATATATAGTTGGGTTAATATCTCAATTATTGCGGGCCAATTGGGTGTCTCGATTTTTTAACCGGAACCTTGGTACATATTTTCAGGAATTCAGAATTTCATTCACTTGTGAATTTTCGATTTATAAACTGCCAATCAAACAATATTTACGTATATTAATTCATTTATGACTCTTGCCAAAAAAGTCCAATCGATTATGATTTATATGAAAACGACGAATGCGATAAGGACGTTTTTGCGTTCATTTTATTATCGTTTTCTGGCGATCATTTCTTTGACGTTGAATCATTTCATGAAATTTCCTGATAATGATTGAAATCGTAAAACATTGACCAAATTGCAGCAATTTTTAAATTTTTATTTCTGTTTCGTCACTTGACAATAATTCGAAACCATCAACGAAACCGTCGCTAGGATTGACCGACACAAAAAAAATAGCACCGATAAATTGTTCAATGGGCAAGAGAAAATAAACAAATGTAAAATGCGCTTAAAAATAGAATGAAAATTGTATTGAGTTTCGTTTCCGTTTTTTCTCGATGATGATATTGCAATGAGCGTAAACAATTTGAACATTGTACATTGCACATTATATGGCGCGTTGCACTCCAAATAAAATTTGGCCGGCAGCCAGTTAAATCATATTGTGCTATTGTAAAATCGGAAATAATCGTGTACATTTCGCAATTTCAGCACATTGTGCAAATGCTTTCTCTATCTCATTCACATTCACCGACACACTAAAAAAAAAATTCGTGAAGAAGAATTCAAAAACAGATTCTCGCTCACAGTCAGTTTGACTGTTGACATTAACCTACTTGCTGTAGCGACCCACATTCACGTGAATAGATTGCTTGCAAGCGTCAGTAAATTAATTCGATATTTTTGTGTCGTCGTTGTTTTTTTATTTGTATTCTGATTTTGTTCCATCTTTTTTGTTTTCATTTCGTAGATAAACGGCCAAAATGGGAAAAGACTACTATAAAATTTTAGGAATAACGAAAACGGCGAAGGACGATGAAATTAAAAAAGCCTACAGAAAAATGGCACTTCGTTACCATCCGGATAAAAATAAGACCATTGGCGCTGAAGAGAAATTCAAAGAGGTGGCCGAAGCATACGAAGTGCTATCCGACAAAAAGAAACGTGACATCTACGATAAGTACGGCGAAGAAGGATTGAAAGGCAACAGAGGTAAGAACGAGTCGACACTCTTGAATTTAATGACTTCACTTTCCTTTTTACAATCCAAAAACAAAAACCGATAATCTTGTGCTTTCTAAAGGGACAACAAATGGCGGCAACTCAAACTTCACATACCAATTCCACGGCGATCCACGTGCCACATTCGCACAATTCTTTGGCTCAAGCAATCCATTTGCATCATTCTTCGATATGGGCGATAATCTTTTTGAGAAAAATGTTTTCGATTTGGACACAGACACAGATTTCTTTTCACCATTCGGTGGTTTAGGTTCAAGACATGGTTTGGGCGGTGCATTTAGGTAAGTTTTAAAATATTAATTTTAAATGTCAATTGATAACGAACTTTATTTCCGCCATTCAGATCACATTCATTCAACGTACATACACCTAAAAAAGAGACAAAGACACAAGATCCGCCAATTGAGCATGATTTGTATGTGACACTTGAAGAGATCAACAAAGGCTGTGTTAAAAAGATGAAAATATCTCGACGAATACTGCAATCGGATGGAACGCCACGAAAAGAGGATAAATTGGTCAATATAGCCATTAAACCGGGATGGAAATCAGGTACTCGTGTCACATTTCAAAAGGAAGGCGATCAAACACATGGAAAAATACCGGCTGATATTGTATTTATCATTCGTGACAAACCACACCAATTCTACAAGCGAGAAGGAAGCGATGTGCGATACACAGCCCGATTGTCATTAAAACAAGTAAATTTCTATTTATTTTGTTTCTCTTTTGAAAAATTTATGTTCTCTTGAACAAGCACCATTAAGCCATAAAAAACCGGCAACACATTTCTATGAAATTTGCATGGACATTTTAGGTGTCTTCGTTTTTGGTCAAAGCAACCAATAGAGCTTAAACTTGATGTTACCAAATATGACAGGCGCATTAGATCACTTCGGTTGAATGATCGTTTTGTGTTTCATTCAATTTGTGCGCGCATAAATTCGCAATTTTTTTTTTAATTTATCTTTTTTGATTTGGAAAAAAGAGCCAGTCCAATCTGGGAATCGTACACAAATTAACACACGTCAAAACATTGTACGCGTGTAAAAAAATGACAAAGACATTGTGTGACAAAAACAGCGTCATGGGTGAGTTTGGAATGAGTGTTGTGGTTTGAATTTGGCAAAAGGAGTCACTTTCAAATGAGATACGTGCGCACGATGGCATATCATCACAAATCTAACTGACGGACTTTCAGCTCGATGATTCAAACAACTTGCGTGTGACAACAATACTGCTTGACATTTTGGATTGGTCGAAATACGCTCTTTGTTATTTCAACAGAACCAAAAAATAATATCTACAACCAAACTTAATTTAGCAAAAAAAAAAAAAAACAAAGAGCCAACCGACTCATTGAATTATTATTTTTTATTGAAATATTTAAAACAATGTATTTGCAGCGCGGTAAATGAATAACAATGCACTGAATGAGTCATGTTGTCAACGAAGCAAGGCTTATGGTGATTAACTGATCGATAAAGTCACCGAACGACCAAAAGCAAAATATAAATATAAATAGCATAATAAAAAAAATCCGTTCAATTGGCATGTCATTTCGAACGTTCGATGTAAATTAAAAGCACAAAAGTGCGATTATTTTCTTACAAAGCACATTGAGTCTGTATGAATAATCCGCTTACCACAATGGCCATTAATTCAATTGCTTCAATTATAAACTGTAATGCAATTAAAATTGAATGTGAATTTATTTTTATTTGCGGCTTAAGAATCACATAGGCTTTTTTTAAATGTGCCTTCCATAAATCTGTTCTTCATTTTAAAAGTAATTTTGCGGCATTTTCCGTACCTATCTTGATTTATTCTCTCGATTCTGTAGAATTCTTGTCGCCACAGTTTCCAGTTAAAGTTAAAACTGTCAAAAGACGAATGAATAAAGAAGAATGAAAACAAAACAAACGAGAAAAAAAATCGCGCAAAGAAAACCAACAACATCGATAAAACTTCTGTAATCGAAAAATTCTGAATGCAAATCCATCGATCGTAAAAAAGAAGAATGCAAACAGGGAAGCGTTTCAACAAAGCGCCGTTTGCAAAATAGCTTTTTATCGGTCTTTCTTTCATTCTCTCTCTCTCTTTCTCTCTCTCTCTCTCTCGCTCAACTTTTGTCGCATTCCGTGCGGCAGCTTCTTGGCAAAGTGATTCAAAGAAGTTTTTTTTATTCTTTACTTTTTTCTTCTCTCCCATTAAAAACGCTAATTTGTGCTTCACCATACGGAAAATATGAATCTGTCATAAAATGTTATTCAGACGCGTCAGCCTGCAATTGGCTTCCGCCTTCCAAAACGTGTACAAATATTAATATCGATTAAATTGTGTGTGTATCGCGTGTTTTTTTTCCTTTCTGCCGGCACACGCATTTATGGCAAAAATAGCCAATTTCAATTTTTATTGTTATGACTGATGCTGTACATAAATGGAAATGATGGCTGCTTGTAGCCGGCAGCAGCGGCATCAATCCGATTTCGTGCGCATTGAACAAATGCAAATGAAATGCGAATCAAGGAATTAGCACAAAATTCGATGAAAATTAAAATATATAGAAATGAAAAAAAAAAACATTTGCGTCGATTTTAATCTCTTGCGAGTATTTTCATTTAATCCTCGATTCCTACCTCAAAGCTCCGGCCATTTTACGTAAACGATTCTATTTAATACACAAATGCCAATAAATCAATTTATACATCACAAAAATGATATTCCGGAGAGTGAAAAAAATAGAAGGAAATGGACAAACGAAAAATCGTATCGATTCTGGTCACATTTAGTTTGCAGGCTCTGCCCGCTTAAAATAATCCCCTCCCTTGAAATATAAAATGGAAATTGATGACCACAAAAAAAGCGGCAACAACAGCACAGGCATATTCTGTTTTCATTTTAAATTATTCAATCGTGTATCTTTGTGGTACGCTTTAGTTTCGTTCCATGCTCATTGCTCATTTTTTTACAGCACACCAAAAAAAACTCCATGTAATTGCTCTGTTGTGCATTTTTTCCATCACTTATGTTAACCGCAATGTAAAATTTAATTCAAAATGAGCACAAAGCATTAATTTCATTTCGGATGCATTGAAATGCGACGTGCGAGAGTATTTCAAAAGCGAAAGTGCGTTCACAATTTTTTAACCATAATTTATGCGTTTTTACATGTGTGAACACCGAACACTGGCTGCATCGCGGTTACAACACAAATAAATCCACTCCATATCACACAGTGAATATTTATCAGCGACATCGCATCGATTTGAATCTGATTCTCGGTTTTTTTCTGCCTTTCTCGTATTTTTTTTAGTATGTTCGCAGCGCATTCTTTTTCGTTCGAAAATTATGTCCGTGAAATTCTTGCCAAACTATTTTAGGAATGGATGCAATGAGGAAGACAACCAAATATGCATTGACATTTAATTTGAACTATTTTAATTATTTCACGACAGAAAACGAATTGATATATCCATTTTGTAAAATCAAATATGGAAAGGAAGTTAATTGGAATGATGAAATGATTTCAATAAAAAGCCATTTTATGGAAGAATCAACTTTTAATATTTCATCAATAAAAATGGAGATAAAGAGAATTTTTTCACGCTTTTCAACGATATCGATGATTTTTTGATTATTTGATATCGTTGTCACATTTGCAAATGGTTGTCTCATTTTTAATATGTAATGAATTCACGCTTGTGGAAATTGGAACTCATTGATGATGGCACCAGTGTTTTAGAATATTCTGTCAACACATAATTCATGTTGAAATGTAATACGCCGGTGATGTTAAATCATTGACTGTTGACAAACGCTAAAATTCAATCGACAAAGAACTCGATCTTTCTCCATTGAACTTGACCTACCAAAAAGAATGATTTGTTTAAACGACACTTAAATTTCATGTCAAATGACTCGAAGAAATGGAATTGGCATGCAATTTTCAGTTCGAATTTTTAATTCAATCATGATAGCAATTCGATTTGTCTACCATCATCGTCATCATCAATAATAATACACTCATTGAATAAGTGCTGTTGTTGAGCATTATGTCAAAAATTTGTAAACACTTTCCGTGACTGTATTAATGAAGATTGTAAGGAGACACGAGCATATAATTTCTATTTGCAAATTAAACTGATAAAGTTGAAATATTTCAATTAATTGAAATTATCGATTGAATTGTAATTCCATTAACGCCATGTGCAAACACTGAAATTATTCTAATATTCATTAATTAGTGTATTTAATTAACTGCTGAAAATAATATCGGTGCGCTATACCAATTTTGGATAATTTCACGCACCAAATGATTAGGCATTAAAATTGAAAATACATTTTCAATTGCATACATGTTCATTCATCAAATATTTATTATTTATAGATGCGAATGTGTGTGAGTCTGAAAATTAATTAATTTTTGCTCAATTTGTAGATTGAAAACTCCGAAGTAAACAAAATAAAAAAACCATATTTTTTGTTCGTTTTTTGTGTACTTTGTGTTGAATACTTTTTTCCATTCCAAATGTTCATGTTGGCAAATGTATGTGTGTGTGTATGAACAAGTGTCATTGTGCGAGTGTGCACACAAATTGGGTAGTTGTCATTTGGTTTTGACTTCAAGTTGACAAAAAAGCGGTAGCGTTGTTTCGCCAACGACACTATTCATTAGTGACTTTTTTCAAAAGTTTTGATTGTGTTAATCCTTACTGATCATGTTTTTTTTTTAATTTTCTTTCATTACAGGCACTGTGTGGTGTCGTGTTTGAGGTACCAACGTTGGCCGGTGACAAACTTCGAATTAGTACGATGCAGGAGGTTATCAAACCGAATACAGTAAAACGGATAACCGGCTATGGTTTGCCCCTGCCAAAAGACCCATCGAGAAAAGGTGAAACGTTTTTGTTATATAATATTGTAAATGGCATTATGACTCATTGACGAACTGTGCAATTTTTTTCTTCTTTCAGGTGACATGCTCGTTGCCTTCGACATTAAATTTCCAGAGAAATTAACCGCATCAGAAAAAGAACTGCTGGGAGATGTGCTGCCATCGATTTAGTTCAAGTTTTACATACACACACTCTTTCTCAATCACAGCATTATAAACAAAACAAAAACACTTAGTTTTAATCAAACGAAAATATTTTGGAGCCATTTTAATGGTCCCATACACACACACACGAACAAACAAACAACTCAGAATGAGGAAAAAATAAATAAATAAAAAATGAGCGCGTCCAGTGGAAATAGAATTAAAAAGAATAAAAAAAAATTCACACAAAAAAACGTGATACATTAGCAATCAAACCATCATGATGAATATGGTCGGTCCGTCATTCATTGCACATTCATGACTGTACGATAAATAAAAATGTACACAATTTTGCTGAAATTTTGCATTCGATTGTGTTGCCTTTTTTCTCTCTCTCACTGATGCACTCTTCTCGCATTTCAATAAATGATGAAAATTAAACCGAAGTAAAACAATACTCAATGGCATTTGCTATTGAATGGTACGCGCTCACAAAATTGCAATTTATTCTTGTGGGTCTGGCACCGACATATAAATATGTAAATAGGCAAAATGTACGAATTTAATTGTAATGAAAACATCTCCCATTCTTTCTATCTCACTCATGCTCATTTTTAAAGTCTCATTTTACACTCTAGCTTTTTATATATTTATATGTGTGTAGAAATTGGAGGCTTTTATATGAGTGTTTGTGTGTGTGTATAAATTTAAATACATGCTGGCCAACTGTCGACTGTTTGTCACATTTTTTCGTCAAAAACGATGTGTGAGAGGTGATTTTTGTGTGCCAACAATTGTGGCTGGACGACAAGGGAGGTGCGTTTGAGAGTAGATTTTCTCTGTACTAACTCGATGTCACATAACAGATGACAACAAGTTTAGTAAATTCAGAATATGTTTTTTTGCCGTTTGTTACACTTCTGCGTTTTCTGATGAGTGCTATGTGATGTACTATGTCAAGATGTCATACGGATAACATGTTGATTTCATGTTTTTATTTTCAACTTTTTTTTGGCTTGCGCTCCTGCCTCATTCTTCTTCATTCTGAGAGTTTTTTTTTCTTTTTCATTTGAATATACGAACTTTTGATTTGTTTTATATTTTGATCAAACGGATACAACTAACACAACACAGTGAAAAGAATAATTTTTACAATTGCAATTTTTTTTTTAATTTAAAGAAGCAACGAGAATAAATAATAAAATGTGTTTTTTTTGTGAAAATTCACAAAATAATTTGTAATTAATTTAAATTATATATTAATGAGGAACAAAAAGAAATAATAATATGCGATTGTAACGATGTAACAACAACAATAAACTCCGATAATATACACAACAACCATATTTATCGTTCTTTTTTTCAATTTTTTTTTCTTTTTTTTTCAATTTGCAATGTCCGAATACTTTGTGTGTTTTTTTGTGCATAAAATATTCAATTGGCTGGGTAATTGTCATTTTCCATTTTTTATCATTTACACAAATTACACTTAATTTGATGACTTTTCCATGAAAAATTAAATAAAATGTGATTTTTTTTCAACAGCGCGGAAAAAAGATATGAAAACCATAATTCAACATTTTTTTTTGCAGTTTAGAATTCAATTTATAAGTTTTCAAATTAAAAAAAATCTATCAGTGCATTTTTTCTCATATTTATGATAGAATGAATATTGTAGTTTAATTTGTCTTTTTTTTGCCGAGTTTTAATTGAAATCATCCAATTTTAATTACAGCAAACAACTTCTTTTCACTCCATTCACACAAGTATGCGGAACACACCTGTTAAATAACATTGAATCTATTTCTGAGACAGAGTAAATAGAAACGTCGTAAAACAGATAGAATATAATCAATTTTGTGATATTATCAAAGGCCATTTCAATTATGCCAACATTTCTGAATCAATAAGCTCTTCATTGTATTAATCACACCAAATTTAATGAAAGCATATTTTCAAGATGAATTCGAAACGAGTTTATTCTTCAAAACATGTCATCATATAAATATATTTGAGTAATTTTGGAATGATGGAAGATATTTTATTCTCAAAATTCCGAACTCAAGATTTATTTTACTCATACAGTTTCTCTATTCATTTTAATTAGCATGGATTAAAGTATTTTCCGTAAAAAATGCATATT